CTGAACACTGTTACATGTTTTCACTTCATGGTATGGTACTTAAGGCTAATCTAATATCCCAGAAATAAGTAATGGCACTGAGGGAGAGTGAATTCAGAATACTTCAGAAGGGTCAAAATATGTGGGTTTTTTTTTTCTTTTAAAGAAAGCACAGTATTCAAAGACCCCTAAATTACTATAACTACAAAAAAAAAAAAAAAAAAAAGGGGGAAAGAAAAAAGCCACTCTTCCATTCTCACACTAGAAGATATTCTAGACATAAAAGTTAAGGAAAAGAAAAGTAAGTTAGGTATCTTTAATCATTTCAGAATACTTTTTTTTGGTAAATATGAGTTCTTTAATCTCATTTGAAGTAGGCACATTAAACCTAATGCACTGAACTGAACATTATGTGATCAGAATAAATTGGGTCTATACAGCTATCCCTTCTAATGCAAAGTCATAAGGAAAAAAATATAATAAACTAAGTCATTAATTCACTGCATCATCACTTCTCAGTAGCTCAACACTTTCTGGGTAGTATAAATTTATATTGCTTGTTTTATCTGTCTTGAATAATTTCATTGGCCTAAAAAGCTACAAGGGTAGGATAAGATTTTTGGAATCTTTCACAAGCTATCTGCCTTCTTTGCTTCAGTCTTCAGTGTCAAGGCTAGCCCTCAGGAATCCCTGACCCAAGTGAGCAGGGAGAAGGTGTGGAGAAGTCTTTCCTTTGGTTGGCAGTTGGGTTAGAGATATTTTAGACAAATTTGGCATCCACAAATCCATGTGTCCTGATGGGATTCACCCATGAGTTCTGATGGAGCTGGCACACATCATTACAAGGCCGCTCTCAATCATCTTTGGTCATGTTTATCAGGAGAGGAGGAGAGGTGCCCAAGGACTGAAAGAAAGCAAATGTCACCCCAGTCTTCAAAAAAGGCAACAAGGGCCAGTCAGCCTCACCTCAGTCTCTGGAAAGGTGATGGAACATCTCATCCTGGAGGCCATCTCCTAAGCATGTGGAAGGCAAGAGGTCTTGCCTGGAGCAGTCAGCATGGATTCGCCAAAGGGATCATGCTTAACAGTTCTGGTAGTTGCTCAGATAACATTGCTGGGAAACACATGATTAACAAAGATGAAATAGCACTGGAGAGGGACTATTTACTACTTTTAGTTTGGGTTATGAGTTCAAGGATTAGTGATAGGTGTATAAAACTTACTGTATGAATACCTGTTACAATAATTTTCTGACATGCAAGTTCTTCTCTCTTCTTGAGATTTTAGAAGAGTGACATGGTATCAGCCTCTCTTTTCTTTGGAGTTAGTTAGTGCTATACAATTTTGGAGAAGCTGAGCAGCTGTACTTCAAATGACCATGAAAAGGAAGGTGGATGGGATGCTGTGAGCTGGTGGCAGACAAGCATCAATGTATGTTCAGTGGAAACGTAAGTGATGAGCAGTGAGGGTCCTTTCTGAACTAAGCTGGCCCACTTTTTCTGTTCTCCTGCTGACAAGACAAGTGCAGAAACTTTCATCAAGCCTGACTTCACTCAGGGAGCATCAGCAGGAAATTTAGCAAATAATTAGCAATCAGAGGTTACTGTGAAGCATCGAGTTGAGGGGATATTTTTTTTCCATCTCAAGCTAGAGGACTGACAATGAGGGCTTCCAGTCTGACACCAATCTCTGCTTCTTCTGTTAGTCTGAAGGTTACAACTTTAAAAAAAAAAAAAAAATCACAAACCCAAATAAACTAAAACCCCACACCTTTTCTATTTCTAGGTTTTGGGTTTTTTCCTCTTCAATGAGGGCACTCAGCGTGGCTAGGACAATTATTTTCTTCCCACTGTCTCTTATTGTCAGCCAAAATAACAAGCTTGCATAGGTAATAGCTTATGCTACTTGCTTTCTCAGATCTGCCAAGCTGGTGCTTGCTGGTGGACAGCTCCAAGAGGAGGGTATATAAGAAGTCAAGCACCCACAATTTCCACTAAGTCATTAGTGAATTACAGATATATACTGCCTCTCAGGACTGCATACATCTGCATACAGCTCAAAGCCTGATACGTGAAATCCTGCCAAGTGCATCATTCTCTCAACCTCATTAAACACTCCATTCCTTTAATCTTGCACCCCAGATCTTACTAGGAGTAGAAAATGATGGCTACGTACATACAAAGCCACAGCAAAAGTGGGATGCTGTTGGTGGTGGAGTGACCATCTATCAACCCTGCTTTTCCAGAGAAACTAGGAGGGTGGCAACTGTCACCAATATGACTGGTGGTGGTCACGAATAATGAGAGACCTATTTCTATGAAAACCTTCAGGAATGACCAGGATTTCCGAAATATGCCCACACATTTTTCTGCACATTTGCTTACACAGCAGGCACATGAATTATCATAGAAAAAGCATAATAATGAGTGCATATATCTATGTTAGACCCTTGCCTTGGAGTTAATGGGCTATTTATAGAGTGAGTAACGATGAGTAAGGTTCATTTCCCATGAGGCTCTGAGCAATTTGTTTTAAATTTGGCCTAAGGGACAGACAGATAAGGTATAGTGCAAAGCTTGCAGGGATTCAGAGAGGGGCCATGTGGAGCAATTTGGTCCTAAGAGTATGTGTGTGTAGAGCTATGTAAAATGTGGTTTCCTGAGAATTACAGAGGTCAAAATTGGCAAATTTTGCACAGGAACTCCTGAAATACATAATCAGTGCTTTTCACACAGGTGGTGCAGGGTAGGGCTCATACTGTGACTTCTGTAGGTCATTCTTCCCATGGTCATGAATGAAAATTGTCGTTAAAAAAAATATATATATCTAAATTCAGGGTTCATTCCTGGTTTTACCTCACATTCCCACTAGTTTACATTTTAATGGTCAAATAAACATTGGGGAATTAAAATCAAGGCAGGTTCAAATAAAAAAATGCAGTAACTACCATTACTCTTCAGGAGAATGTCAATTTTATTATCATTTATTCACTATATTAAATCTATTCCATTTTCTAAACTTTAAAGACAAGAAGTAGGACAAGAAAGGAAACGCATGGGACGAACAAGCTGACCAAATGCATCAGTGGAAGCCATGGTGCATGCCCTGCCTCTTCCAGAAGCACCATTACCAGCTTTATATTCATCATTTGCATCATTCACCTGAGAATCTCAAATGGCTTACAATGTACCCTATCATCACTCACACAGTGCTGGGAGGCTTGCTCCCCATTCTGATCACCCTGGCTGCCAGCCTGCAATCAGCTTTCAATCCAGTTGCTGTCATTCTCAAGCATGGGAGGTGTTCCCTGCACACAATCCTAAGGTTCCTTTCCTCATCTCCTTCAAACTCTCCTTGAAAAGCACCTTTGCCAAGATGTCAACAGTATTAAAAGAAACCAGCAATTTGGCACATGGGTACATTGCTGGAGTGATGAGGCTACTGTCTGTTAGACAGACCAGTAGCACAATCCTGAATGGAACCATTGGCTCACATCTTCTTCTTCATGATCCTTGAGGTAGGGATAATTTTATTTTTCATCTGTCTATGAAATATTAAGTAGCTTAGGTCCAGGTACATACCTTCAGACTCCTAGGTGCTATGACACTGCAAATATTATAGAAATAAGTAATAAATCTGACAAGTGTAAATGACCCCTTTAGATGTGAGGAAATGAGAAGCCAGGCTCTTAGTTAACTTACTGAGTACTTAATCACACAGCCTTCTACAATACTTGAGCATACCCAATATAGCTGAAGGTGCAATCTGAGTGATAAATTATGGAGTGTGTAATGGTAATTTTTAATATTCACAAGGCCAGTGTATTCATGTTCAGAAAATCACTCTCTTTACATGAGAGAGAAGTAAATGACCCCTTGGATACATGACAACTTTTATCACTAATCTAATATATTTCCTAGGCACATAGCACTGGAGCATTGAGGACCAGAGGTGCCATCCGGTGAAGTGAATGGAAGGACTCCCACTGAATTGGAGAGAATTTAAATCAGGCCTGAAGCCAATTAAGAAAACTGGACGTTGCTTGGCCACCACAGCATTTATGTTGCTTTTCAGCGTCTGTCCATATTCATCAGGTTTTAAATGGAAACACTTTTAAATTGGTGCTGACACTGCTTTAGCACCGTAACAGTGTGAAATCTCCACTTACCATTGGCTTTTCATTTCGGTGATATGGTTATTAAGAGTAATGTCTATTACTTCGGAAGGTAATATGGAAAGAAATGACACAGTTTGCATTAAAAGTGCCATTCTGAGTTGGAAACTACCAACAGATGCCTTAATGAGACAACAGCCTAAATCCTGAATGGAACTATTTATTCAGCCCATACATTATGGACTTCTTATGGTTCCTTACATGCATTTAAAGAAAAAAAATCATCCAGTGCACTCACATCTTCTCTTGTTTAGTATCACACTGCAGGCATTTCCTTTCCCTGACACACTAGCCATCCAGGGCAGAGAAAGTCTGTCCTCATCTTCTTTAATCCATGGTTCACAGCAGACTGATGAAATTTTTAATGAAAAATATGTATTTTCCTAGTCAAGTAACTAAAAAGAGCAGAGGTGCAGAATCTAACTTAGGTCATTAAGCACTTGAAAGATATTAATCATTACTAAATTGTAATTACTTGTATCTAGTATCTTTAAACGCCCTTATGCAACGGCTGATATGAGCCCCAAGCTTGCTGTCTGCATGTGGGTAATTACAGAAAACTCATTTGGAAGGTGGGGGTAGGTGTCTCGCCACGACTACAGAAGCTGGTCACACAATCAGCCATAAAAACTCTTAAATTAGACATCAGACTGAAAGAGAGGTCACTGATAAGAGGCTTTAACATGAACTGAAAAACAAGACAATATTAAATCTGCCTGTAAAAGATTTGTTTCCTCTGTACCTGAGGGGAGAAGCCTCATTTGTTTTAAAAATTAGAAATCTAGAGCTTTTAGACAGTTTATGGATTTTGATGCCGTTTTCTGTTTTTACGTATCTCACATTTGTTTCTATCATGGCACAAAGACAGCAAGAAAAGGAACTTATCCTACAAAAGGTGCTGAGGGACGAAATGCTATTTTGATTAGAGGCCTTAGACAGTGTGTGTTGTGCACCATAAAGGTGTGTTCATGTCTGCTAGGACACATGCAAACAGAGGTAGACAAATACAAAGTGAGCTGCTGAAGGTGGCTTGCTCATCACTGCATTTTTTGTTGGTATTGTTACTGCAGAAATGTCCTATTCTCTCCTGAACTGCAATCAAGTTTTCTTCTCTACTTGCTTGATTGGCAGAAAGCAAATAAGTAGAACACATCCCAAATGACTGAGAGTCTGAGTGCCCAGGCACTCATCTAGGAACGGGGAAACCTGGCTTTCATTTTTATTTTAAACCTTTTTCTACTGGAACCAAAATGAAAACACCCATTGGTTACAGCTTCACTTTCACATATCTTGTGCTTATTTTTCACCCTATTCATTAGCTTATTTAGAACCTGAAGTCAATGGGAATTTTAACAGTGGGAGCAGTGTCAGATCATTAAACCTCAGCACTTCTGGAAGTATCTTTTGATGCCATATAGAAGGGAGCCATGGGAGACAAACTAAATGAAGTGATTTTACCTTACATCAAAGCTCAAAAAAAGAGGCGGAAAAAAAAAAAAAAAAGAAGGAAAAAGAAAACCTGCTCTTTTTCTTCTTTAAATGCAGCATCATGTACAGCCTGAAGGAAATACTTTAGGAAGTTAGAAAACTGAAATCCTGCCCTATGATTGGTAAGATATCAATGCCAGGTCTAATCAATGGCATACTTAAAGCAGCTCTACCTGTTTTATTAATTTGGTGATATCTGGTGACATCCAAATCTGACTTGATTTCTTCCACTCCAGATTTTCTGAAAATCTTTCATTTATTGTTTTTACTTAAATCATTCTTGTTACTTACAGTGTACCCTTTTTCATTCAGCATGGTGCCAGCTTGTACAGTCATCCTAATGTTCCCTTGGTCCTTTGCACCTCCTACTTCTCCATGCTCTTCTGCTTGCACACCACAATCATTATAATAATCTCCCTTCAGCTGGCTTTTGTTCTAGTAGCTTTGTTGTCATATATACTTAAATTGTCCCTAATCATTTCTTATTGCCCATGCGTTTTTCATTTTCTGTAGAGTTTTGGTCTCCGTATGTTCCAAGAGCCCTTGCCCTATCTGTGCTTCTGCCTGCTGGGAAGAGTTGATGCCTTCATGCAGCTGGAGACCTCGGTGTGTTGTTCTGCTATCTGAACCATCCAGATTTCTAAAGAATATGCAAAATTAAGTTGAAATAATCTTCCTGTAAAGTGCTTCATGTGCTACAGCCGGAGCAATGACTTTGACAGGAAAAAAACGGGGAGGTGGGAGCTCATCTGACATAGGCAGGGCTGGAGGGAGAGTTAAGCTTTAGTCTGACCTTGCAGTATTTGGGATCTCCTGGGAGAAAGGAATACCTCTTGCTGCCAGTGTTCACCGGTTTTCTATTGAATGGGCTCATTGGTTTTCCCTTGCATATCCAAAGGGAAGAGAGGAAGGCAAAACGTACAATTGCTTCCTCCTGTTCCCACTTAGCAGTAACACTGCCTTGGGCCTGGCATCTGCAGGCACTCAGCCAGATTTCTAGCTTCATTTCCCTTCTGCCCTGTGCTGCAGGTTTATTTATGCAAGTGCTTTTTGAAGAAGCAGCCCATCACCTTTAAGTGCTTCCTTGATCACCCGCTGATTTCTCCAGCCTCAACAGTCAGGGCAGCATTAGACCTGTGAGTGATTTATAAAGAAAGGAAATGCTAATGGAGAGACAAATACAGATGGGGGTATTGGACCTATTTTCTCCCTTCCCAAACCAAAGGTCAAGCATAAAGAAAACCACTAGCTGGGAAAACAAAAAAATGCCTTTAAAATATTGCCTTGACATTGCCTTGTAAAATGGTGACAGATAGGCCTAAAGATACCTTTGAGTATCTGTGTACCTGAAGGAAAAAGACCAGCTGAGGGCTTGTAAGCCTGAAAGAATTTACTGCCTATGAGAAGAATTTCTACAAATAATAACAGTTGGCCTAATAAAATCTTACCTCTTCTTACATACCTTGCCTAATCCTCCACACAGATGCAGCAATAGTTACGGAAAGGTAACAGAATAGGTACAGAGGTGTATATAAAAGGCATACCAGCTTAGAAACTTTGCAAAATGCTATTATTTGCTTTATAAAGCTCTGCAGAGATCTTCAATGGGAGCCATTGGTAAGAAATTACCTGTTGGTGTAGGTGTATCACTGTAATCAGCTACAGTTTAATATTATAATGATCACTGTCACCCAAATGTTGGGAACTTGTCTGGATAGAAACCAGGAGATTCCATATTTCTTATTACACTACATATTTTTCATCAGGAGCACCTATCTGTGAATGCAAGACATCAGCCTGCCAGATCTGGGCCTGGGACACTGCCTCCTGCTAAGTTGGTGGTAATAAATATTAGTTGGTTTGCTTTTGCTGTTGAATGTCCAATAGTCCTGATCATCTTGTGCTTCCTCTGCTGACAATTACCAGAAATAACGCCTGTGAGAGGCATTTCTCGGCTGGTTCAAAAGCTGGATTAAAACAAGTCATAAGCATTTATGGAGCTTAAAACAGGAACTTCCTTTGGATTTCTGAAATTACAACATAACTGTTCTCTAAGAACCAGCTTTCCTAACAGCAATCATGGAGTTAGTCAGTGACATAAAGAAACATTGCTGTGACACAACAGCAACAGTATTTCTAGATGATTGATAAGAAAAGCACTTCCCAGAGGTAATTTTGTCAGGTGCCCGTTAATTCTGTCCTCCAGCTGCCACTATGACTCATAAACCTGCCAGCAAGAAGAGACCTCAAGTGGCCACCTACACCCTCCTTAGAAACAGGCTTTAGCTTACACTTTGACCAGACTAAACAAAGTGTGTATGGACTGATCTTACATCCTCCCACTGAAGGGGATTCTCTTAGCAGCCTCTTCAGTTTTCTTTCTGGCATTCAACTTAAACCTTATTTGTTGCCCTATTACTCAGCACACATAGCAGGCTCCTGTTCTGTCTTTGTAATAACTTTTTACTTATTTGAAGACTGCTATCTTGTCTCACACTTGTCCTGCTTTTTCGAATCTGTATAAACCAAATTCATTGAATTCATTCACAGGCTGTGTTGATGGATTCTCTGATAATTTCATTGTTCTTTTCTAGGCTTTCTACCAACAGCTTTTTTTAAATGGACACATTATTCCAGGCAACAGTTTCTCAGGACAAATGAAAGAGAATAGATGTCTCCTCTGCCTTCTGTATCACAGACTTACAATATCAGTCCCATAATTGCAATGTCTAATATGTAATTGTTGCACTTCAACACTGCTTTCATGATCTCTCTCTCTCTCTCTCTCTTAACAAATATCTTTCAGTTTAATCCCAGAATAAAACAAAACCCAGCAGGCCGATTTTCAAGTCTGTTGGGAAGCCCCAATTCAGTCTTTGTTCTGCTTGCAGTCTTTGTGGAAATTATCAGTCTCAAAATGTCGTGTGAGAAAATTTGTGTTGTAGGATCTTGGGAAAAGCTCTTTCTATTACCATTTAATTTGTTCAACAAAAGGCAAGGATACTGAACCCTTTGCCACCAAGGGCAGCAGATCTCATTTCATGATGAACACGTGGCTTGTAAAGTGAATATTGGTAGCTCTCGGGGCACGACCAATGTCACCAAGAAGTTGAACATCCACGCTTTCAAGGGCCAGATATGGAGGAAGGCACATAGCGAGCAATGACAGGCAGTAAGAGATGTGACATCCAAAGCGGCTGTAAGTTGCCAACCTTTTCCAACCCTCTGAAAGAGAAGGTTTTGTGTGCAAAGTGTTGCATATCCATCTGTCTTTTCCACTGGAAGAGGAAATTGATGCAGAACAGCAGGATTTTTCTTAAGATAAGTGAATTTATTTACACTTCTGCTACTACTTCACCAAGAAAGACTGTCAGACAGCACTCACGCAGTTTCAGTCAGAATGCCAAGAGAGCAGTTGTCCTGGGTTCAGCAGTAGCAGTCAGTTTTTTCCTTCTTAGTAGCTGGTGTAGTGCTGTGTTTTTTACTTTCAGCCTGGGAACAATGCTGGTAACACCGATGTTCTTAGTTGTTGTTAAGTAATGATTACTCTGATCAAGGACTTTCTAAGTCTCATGTTCTGCAAGGGAGGAGGAGAAGTTGGGAGGAAGCAGAGACAGGACACCTGACCCAAACTGACCAAAGGGGTATTCCATACCACAGCACATCATGTCCAGTATATAAACTGGGGCCAGTTACCCAAAGGGGGAGATCCCTGTTCGGGTAGGGCTGGGTATCTGTCAGCGGGTGGTGAGCAGTTGTATTCTCTTGTTATTTCCCTTATCATTATTGGTCATAGCAGTAGTGGTTTGCGTTATACCTTAGTTATTGGGCTGTTTTTATCTCAACCCATGGGGATTACACTCTTTCAATTCTCCTACACATCCCTCTGGGAGCAGAGGGGTAGAAGAAGGGAGGGAGGGAGCAAGTGCCTGCATGGGTCTGAGTTACCAGCTGGGCTTAAACCACAACAGCAGTCCTGCTCAAGGTATTGAGCCCTGCCCAGTACTCTTAGGAATGTGGATCCAATGGCACAACCTCTTGCTTCTGTCTGTCATGATCTGTAAGTCAGAATTCTTCCCTGGATCAGCTCTGTGGACAGCAGGTGCCAAGGAAGAGACCAATTTTCCACTGCACCTATCTAATCTGATGCAAGGTCATGGGCTTTTAGCTGAAGTACTTTAGTTGCTATCTAACTGTGATCCCAGGATCTGGTTAGATGCCATTTCACCTGCTACCACCAAGCCTTTTGAAGTGCTTAGATTTCTCTATGTGGACAAGCAGTGAAAGTTACTGTTTTGTTGAAACTGTAATGAGGGTGGAATTGTCATTTTAGAGCCTTTTGTTGAGTAGAAGCTATAGATTCCTACTTTTCTTTTATTCGGCTGCAAACTCATTACTGTGGCATTGGCCATGAAGCAATGTGTTATCCCTTTCATCATACTCTTTGTCTCATTAAGACAAAGCCCCATCTCTTCTGCTATTATTTCTTCTTTTTGGTCTATGTAATTAACACCCAGGATCTTACAATGTCCTGTTTCTCAGAGAATATTGGAAATCAACAGCAAGAGCCACGCTCTTGGGCACAAACCCAGGTCTCATCATCTACCACCAGGCCCAAAGGAACTTTGTTTGCTAACTTCACCGCAGGCTACATTCATCATTGCTTCCTGCTGTTCAGTCACTTGATTCTGTTTTTTTCTGACTTTTCTTCTCTAACGCATCCTGATGCAGCATGTATTGTTCCAGCTCTCACAAGCCCTAATTTGTGTATCTTGGACTTGCTTTTGACCCTAATATCACACTTCTGTCTGTAAACATTCACCTTTTTCTACTTAGTTGGTAAGAAATAGAAAACCTATTAGGTTGAATGAGCTCTGCCATAATCTACAGGGCAAAGATTTACCCTGTAGTCTGTATCCGAACAAGTTTCAGATGGCCTTTGGTGCCACAGACTTGCCTAGCTGACAGTAATATTTCAGGAAGGCAAGAAGGAAGCCACAAGTAGGTGGAACGAAATTAGTAACTATGCACATTTTAAATGTTTTTGAGTACTTAGAACCCTGGCTGTTCATAATTTATGGTTTACTATGATCGGTATTCATGTTAACTTTGATAAAAATCAAAACTGTGCTAAACAGCATATTTTAAAACACAGGCAATTTCCCTACCCAAAGGAGTATGTAAGATCCTTGCAAGGTAAATATGAAAAGAAGGTCAAAATAGGCCATAAGTTTATGATTTCAAAGAAACCAGTATTTCACACTGGCAATAAAGCTCATTCCAAGTTCCTTGTGAGCAACACAGTGTTAATTAAATATATTTTATTAAATTGTGAATAAATGGAGTATTTCTTTAAGAGAGCCTTGAGAAATTGTGTGTACATGGTAAGGGGTGTTTTCTTCCACATTTTATAAGGTGTTAAAAACAAGGACAGGCAGACAGATAGATTTAAAATTACATTGATAAAAGGGTGCAAGTACATAAATCAAACATTTTGTGTGAAGGAAAAAGCTTCTCCTTCACAAGGAGATGCTGCTCAGTTTGGCACTGTAGGAGAAATTACACAAACCATTGCCCATAGAAAACACAGCATAATGAATAAAATTTGTCTTGAATTATTTATTTTTAGTGCTTTATTTTATCTCCTCTGTCTTGCAAGGCCTGGAAATTGTTCTTGATGAGAGCTTTCTGAGTGTCTGAGTCTCAAATTAAAACAACACATTAACGTCTTCTATATAGTATAGAGGTGGGAAGACTGGAGTGCTTAAAAATGCACTGGATTTGACACTTTCCATTAATGGGACCACTAGTGTGTACCACTTTAATTTACTGCTTTAAAATATATCCATAAGATACAGTATTCTTGGATGTATGATGGCTGAATAAAATTTAATAGATACACAAGTGGCAGACCAGAACTAATCCTTTCCAACGTACAAGCTCTGTCATAAACTGTATTTATTTCGGAATCTGATTTAAAACATGTCTTGCAGCATTAGCAAGACCTTAGAGAGAGGGAAATCAAATGTAGTGTGGGCCATGAGAGATTTCAAATGGCAAGATCATCCATAAATGGAGTAATTTTTTTTTCTTATTATTGAGGAAGGTTGGGTGGGATTTTTTCTTTTGTACCAGTCTGTTATCCTTTTAATATGTTTTTAGAGTCAAGCCTTCCTGTCTGTGGGGTAAAAAAAGGAAAAGCCATCCTGAGTATGCCTGTGCTGGGTTTTACATACCAGACATAACGATGATGAGTGATCTTCAGCCCAAAATACCACCACACCCTAATAAGTGACTGTGTCAGTGCAGCTTTTTTGTGTGCTCCTAGCCCCTGTCAAGTGTCACATCAAGTTTAGCTCTTAGTGAAAGAGGATTTAAGAAACATGTGCCATGAGTTGAGAACCTGCCTGTGAAGAATTACCTGAGCTAATGAGGAGTAAAGGTGATGACAAAAAAAACAAGGTAAATTCATTATTCATTGAAGCACTTATTCTAGCTAAGGGTTTAAAGAAAGGAGATCTGTAAGTAACCTGTGTATCATGCATCTAAGAGCTCAAACAAAAGTTTCATGCTTGCTTTAAATAGATACTTCCTTGAAAGTCCTATGAAATGTAAGGAAAAGTACCCAACATCCCAGGGAAGGTGCCCTGCAATCATATTTACCTGCCTCTTTGAAGCTTGCAATTCCTGTTCATCCCCTCTCTGTTGGGGGGAGAAGCTGTGCTCTGGTAAGGCTTAATCTCTGTTCAGCACCACACACTGACAACAGAGACAGAAATCTGTCATAAGTTTCTCTCAAATATTTAACTTTCATTTTTCCGAGGACACTTACTTACAATGAATTTAAATGGAATTGCACCTCCAACGTAGATTACTTTTAAATCCATCCCTCCAACATCCCACATCTCCTATAGGATAAAAGGGCAGAGCAGAAATGTAGGATCCTGAGCCAGGTCTGTCTTGCAAATCTCAGTTTCATGTTTTTTAAGAAGACTTATGAAACTAGGAGCAACCAAGCTCTTCAGGGACCTTCTACTCATGTCTTAGGCGCTGAAATGCTTTATCTTTATATGGTCTTTCCTACTTACCTCTCCTAAGCCTACAGCTGCAAGAGAGGACCATATGCGGAAACAGCCAATTTTTAACATCAAAATCTTCATTGTCAAAAAAGGAAGTCTTCACTCCCTCTCTGTGTAGTAAAGAAGCAATCTATCCCCTTACCCACCACCCTGTCAGATACTGCTTCTTCGTGCTTAATATACCACATACATTGAGTAGAACATTCTAATTTCAGCTTCAGCAGTAGAAAAGGAGTTCCTGCCCATAAAAACCACATGTAGTAGCTTGCCAAACTTTTAGAGGGAAACCAGTCAGACTGCAAGACACAATAATAAGTTTCCCTCAAAATATATCTGATTATGTAACGGATTGCTGTATTAAAAATTAAATAAGGCTTGAAATATACAGCAATTTGGAGGCACTAGGGAGTATGCCTAATAAAGAGAGTGCATTAGCTGCTTCTTGTTTTTTAAATCCAGTCTATAAATACTGTAACACCTTCCTATTTACTTCAGTGTGGGAAGACCAGACTTTGTGAATGTGCTTGTTAAAATCAGCACTGAGTTCAATCTGACTGACGTTTTTTAGCTGTGTCTCTGTGGTATTAATATTGGTCTAATCAGCATCTGAGGATTGTCGTTTAAGTCACTGGGGACACTGTACCTTGTGCATGCTCTAAACACAGCATGAATGTGCAACTCAATCCTTCTAGGAAAAGTAACAGGTCCTAAGCAGGATCCAAACCTCTCCCAGGAGCCACAGAGCAATTCATGGGATTCACTAGTATTATACTGCTTTGACAGTGGTTATACTAACGCTTGCGTTAACCCTCCAAGCACAGTCAATGCAAATCAGATATGTCTCAGAGTTAGACTGAGCAGCTTTCCAATGCAAGTTGGAAATACAAAGACACTTCAGAAAGATCCTACTCAGTATTACCATCTACATCTTACAGTTCCCAAACACACTAAAAATCAGATCCTTAGTGTCACAGTTCTCAATGAAAGTCATATACTGACATTAACTGAGAGAGAAATTCACAAGGACCCAATTCAAAGAAGGTCCTCCATGCTCATTTTTCATGGAATAATTTATTCATTGGCAAGGCGAGAGGGGGAGAAAGAGTCAACAGATAAGTTACCAGGGGAATGGCCTTCAGGGTGAAGTTCCAGTCCCTCTCACTGTAGCTGTTGAAATATTTTACACAGAGAGCAACAGCCTTACCAAGGAAGACTGAGAGCCCTTCAGTTCATGTCCATGCCTGGAGGCTGGACATCCCCTTCCCTCCATGAGCAGAGAGCTTTGACCCAAGAGCTGGCTCTGTCTATGAGGCATGCAGTGCCCTGGAAGGACCTCTGCCTGCACTCGTGGTGGCAGATGCCCAACAGCGGAGCATGAACTCAGCCAGTTTGCACTAAACAGGCACAGAGGATGGTCTGAGGACGAGAGAGAGACAGACATTCTCAGACCTAGCTACTGTAGGACTGGGTCAAGAATTTGTAGGGCACTCTCATGCCATTCTAGGGGTGGGCTTCCAGGGCATTGCTCTTCTCCAACCATGCAGAAAGAAGTTGTTGGTCCACTGCTTTTCAGGGGTACTTTGCCCTTTTGTTTTTTGCATGCATGGGAAGTGGTAGGTAAATGAATGTGTCTCAGAGAAGTTAAATGAAACGACTGTGCATTGGGTTTGTGCAGTTTCCTTCCTGTCACATTCAAACGCATCAGCAGCCCAGTCTAAGCACACACTGGGCTAGGTTAGCAAGCTCATCAGGCATGCTATCCTCGCCTTCTGACTTCCTCTTGGAATTAAAAACGGTGGCCCTAATGAGAATTAATTAGGGCTGGGGGTGGAAAAGGGGGATCCATCGTGTTTTTGTTTGTATTGTTTGTTTTCTGTAAACCCATGGAGGGGGGGGAAAAATCATATTACTTCCCCATGCAATATAGTAAACGTAATAAAAAATGAACACATGGTAATTAGCTTCTCCATTAAGTATACCAAGCATAGACAATAGCAATCGTGCAGTGCTGATTACAGACATTATTCTTGCCTGGATTTTTTTTTTTTCCCACCATTCAATCAACACTGCTAAATAGAAACTTCAGTGTTCAATATTATAAGACACTAGCTGGCAGTTATACAAAGATGCCTTACACAATGTCATCTGGCTGTTTGCCTGATTCTCATATTACCTTCCTGTCTTGCCTTATACGCTAATACGCATGGCTGATTAGAAGAAAAATGCAGAAGCTGCTTCCTTCTCGTCTTGCTTTTTTCTCCAGCTTCATGCCTTGAGGGAAAAAAGGAATCACATTTGCTAATTTCACCAGCAGTGCTTAACCTGGGAATGGAACAATTCCCTTTCAATTCCACATTAGTTATAATTCATACACAAACACTGCCTTGCACCAGCCTAATTGGGCAGTCTTTGATTCCACTCTGAGAGAAATGTTGATTGATGTTGTACAAGTCCTTTACCAGCATCAGTAAAGAAAGTCTCAGAGTTCAAAATAAACATTCTCGGGGGTTGTACAGTATCCAGGGGTTAGATGTCTGGAAACAGGATTTCAGACTGAAAATCCCAGAAGCTCAAATGACTGGAAAATGTCTTGGAACATCTAAAGTGACTGCTTTCGGGTGGATTTGCTGATATCAGCAGACCCCTTGGGGAGTCACAGTACAGTTTATGCCAGTTTCTTTAGGAGGATAAGCTTTCTTACAGGGGGAATATTTTTCATATGTTGAAAAGTGCCATTTTCTGTATTTGTGTTTACACATATCTGTTTCATTCTTTGATTTCTTATGGTAAAGCTATGCCAAGGCAGGTGCTGCACATCCAGGTTTCTCTGACATGCCTTCATTCTTCCCCAGATATTTTAGCCAGGTTGAATTTGAAGTCTGGTCAGGTGTCTAGGATTTCCAGATGTCTAGCAGCCACATCAGAGCTACTTCTGTGCATCTGGAAATCCTGGGTCACTGAGCATATATACGGACTTACTTTATAACAGAATAATCAATGCCTAGGATGCCTCAGACAGATGTCCAGGTGCAAGTCATCTTCACAGCAAACATTTCACAGGTCCAATAAATCCTAGTGATAGCACACTCTCAGTGAACCTTTCAGGAAAAACATGAGGAAAAATGAAGAACTTTTATCTTAGGGGTAGGAATCTGCTGATTTTTAATTGATAAAGCTATGCATAGGTACAGATCAAAGTCTATAGGTTGAAGTCTTACCTTGCAACTTCGTAATCAGTTCTAGAAACAGAGGGGGTTGTGAAAATGTGGTGTGTATATATATGCATATATAAAATTTTATATATGCAAAATATCGATGTTGATATACATTACAATCTCTGTGTGTTGCACAGATGGGAGAAACTTCAGGCCACCTACAAAACTTCTCCCTTTCTAGCTTTGTGACTGCTACTCATGAGTTTACGCAAATGGTACAGTATACAGGCAAAATAAATGACTAGAAACTAAGCACTAGGTGAAAAATAATGTATTTCTTCAAAACTTATGCCTGTTAAGATTAATTTTTCTGTAGCCAGAAGGTGAGGTCTAGGATTGCCAAGCACCCCAGCAGACAGTTCCAACTGCTCCTGTAGCCTGCATTCAGTGGCACAGGAAAGCTGGGCTGGGGATACCTCTGATCATTTTCGATGGTGCAGAGATCCCGAGCTGGAATTGCTCAGGTTTGACTTGACACAAGAGATATGAACAGCTGCAATTAGGCCCTCTAATCAGAGGTGGTGGCAGCAGTCCACAGCCAAGCAGTATCATGTATGTCTGAAGAGTATTTTAAATATCAGGAAAACTCTCTGTCAAGTATTTATGACAAAAGCTCAGCTAAGCAAGTCCATTTTGGCAGAAACGTTCCTTCAATAAGTTGTTCACCAGTCAATGTGTACACAGAGTGCAGTTTCACTGCTGTTGCTCTTCACACATTATGATGGGTAACAAAAAAAAAAACAAAAAAAAAAAAACTACCAAAAAAAAAAAGGCAAGTCAAATGATGCATTTAGAAATAAATTTTAAACCCTGTCCAAATTATACACCCTTTTATTTTACCATACTTGCACTTCAGAGGATGACACAAAACCCTTCATGGTCAACACTGTCTGGACTTGTTTTTTTCCCTTGAGCCAAGCAATAAACAGGACCTCAAAAATCCCACCTGCCTGCTGCTATTAGAAGACTAACAGCTGAGTGCTTAGATAAAAACAGCTTTAAAGGATGCCAATCTGCTGTGTTAGTCCCCAAGCAATGTTTTCTTAAGACATTGAAGGAAGGCTGCAGAAATGAAGACTTATAAAAAATGAAGTTCACACTCTATGAAAAGTGTCTTTTTACTAAATTTCTATCACTTCCCTCAGCAGCTCCGCTTCTTGACTGCAACACCGATCATGAGTTCAGTCTGGTCCTCCATGAAGGTCATTTTCAGAAGTCGGAGAGTATGTAGTTACAAGGCCACTTAAGACCTTTTAAACCAGCAAGTGAATGCTTCAGACCTCAACCCAGCCACACTCCACTGGAAAGATGATCACAGCAGCCTTTTCCAACACTTGACAACCCTTTTAGTGAAGAAATTTTTTCCTAATATCCAATCTAAGCCTCCCCTGACACAACTTGAGGCCATTTCCTCTTGTCCTATCACTTGTTACTTGGGAGAAGAGACCAGCCACCTCCTTACTGCATCCTCCTTTCAGGTTGCTGTAGAGAGTGATAAGGTCTCCCCTGAGTCTCTTTTTCTCAAGACTAAACCCTCTCAGGTCCCTCAGCCATTACTCATCATACTTGTGATCCAGACCCTTCACCAGCTTTGTTGCCCTTCTTTGGACCCACTCCAGCACCTCAGTGTCTCTTGTAGTGAGGGGCCCAGAACTGAACACAGGATTCAAGGTGTGGCCTCAACAGTGCCTACTACAGGGGGATGATCACTGCCCCAGCCCTGCTGACCACTACTTCTGATACAGGTCAGGATGCTCTTGGCCTTCTTGGCTGCCTGAACACAAGCTGCTCATGTTCAGCTCTGTCAGTCAACACCCCCAGGTCCTTTTCCACCAAGCAGCCCTCAGCCCTCAGCATGCATCAGAACTGTTTCCACAAGACACCTTGCTTTGTTCTCCTCCTGGCTTCTCCACTTCCACCACCGCTTACGTTTTCTTGCATGTAGGCACCTACAAGGCTAGAGAATAAAGCATCTCTCATACATCACCAACCCTGCCAAAAATACTTTAAATAAATGTATTTTGAAGGTCAGCTGTCACATCCCTCAAGTTCCATAGGCAGCTGAGCTCATGGCACACTGTCCAGCATCCAGCTTTTCATATTGCTGAATAAGCACAACTGCTGTTCCAGCTATCTACATGACTTACCATGATTTAGATGTCTTGTACGTACTTACTTTAGAATCTTAGGTTTTAGCTCTTTCAATTTAACAGGAAAAGAAAGATAAAAAAAGAAAAGGAAATAGAAGTTTCTCCCAACTAGATCTTTTCATGAGCTCAAATGATTTTTAATGGTGCTTTCCTGTGCAACAGGTTACATCTTTGTGCTAGCTAATACTTAGAGCAAGTTTCTCCAAAACCGTTTTAAATAAGCATCAGTATTGACTTCAATAATGCATTTTGAAGCTTCCTGCAGTCTTTTCATGGTGAAATATCCGTTCTTGTACATCTTAACAGTAATCTTAAGTGATTCCACCTCTGAATTCTTAAGTCAACACATGGTGTAATATGGTATCAAATTACATCTGACCGTTTCTGTTCCCTCAAAACCACACTTCGACATAGAGATATGCGCATTTTACAGTAGATAACTTTTATTTTAAAATGTGGTCACAAGAAGCCAAAGTTTGCCAATATTACCTGTCTTATCTGTGGAACAGCTGGAAAATGCATGAATAACCAGATTGTTGCATTTTTCTTCTCCCCATTTTTAAGCTAAAATAACATTATAGCTTATAAACTACAACCAAATAAGGCAATGAACTCGGATAATGCTGAGGGGATGATAGATAGGATATCCTGGCACAAAATAAGCACAGTCATTTAAGATCTGTAATAAAATCTGGCATTTTGCCAGTTTGCCAGCCATTAAACTAAAGGTTATTTAAGCTGTGATAGAGATTTTTCTTGTTTGCCTTAAAGAAATAAAGAACTACTTTGAATTCTTGAGTTTAAATCATTAGAAGACACTTACCTGTGTTAAAAGAGGTATTTTTGTACTAAGATGGCATGGGTGCTTTACCCTGACAGTCTGTTTCTACATTGGGAAGCAGAAGTTTAGCACAAGGCTCTAATGTGTAAGATCAGAGACAAAAATGCAGTGAGATAATGCCATGGGGTAACTCTGAAATATTAGTGGCAAGAAAATCTAAGTGCTGGCAGCCTCGGTGCCATCAGGATGGGCATTTATGAACATCTGGACAGACTGAAGACCTCACCAGTGCCAGCAGGCAGTTTAGTCTTTCCTTTTCCCTGCCACATGGTTCTCCCCCTCTGAAAGGAAAGTACTATGGAGCCATTTTTACACCTGTCCTGTAAAGAGTTTTTGTCCTGTGTCCTGTGCTTTGAGCTGGTGTGGCAGAGGCTCTCCCAGCTGTGATCACAGCTGCCTGGCTCTTCTTCACCCCAGACCCAGGCACAGGTGGGAAACGTGGGCAGAGGCAGAATCCACCCTGGTTCAGTCACTTTTCCTCCCTGTTCCAGCACACTCTGACCATAGGTGACTGATGGGAGAAAGGATGTAATGACAGTAATTCTAGCTGCCTGCCAGGAACCTCCTCACTCCCAGCAAAATGGAGTAAACACAGCATTTAGAACAGGGCAGATGCACTGCTACAGCTGGTAACAACAAAAGAGTCTTCAACCGTATGAAAAGATCAAGTTTTACATCTGTATCATCTAAATCAGGTTGGTTTAAATGCTAATGCCCTCAGTCCTGTGACACATTTTTCCCTTAGTTTATATTGCCTTGGTAGTGTGACCTTCAGTTTTTCACAAAACCCCTTTCTCTAGTCTTTTGGTGAAAGAAAAATAAGAATAAAGCTCCTGTGTAGGAGGAATCTTGGTATGAATAATCTTGTTCAGAATGTAGTATTGAATTTTGCCCAATTTCCATTAATTTCTTGATGTATTTTGTATATAGGCCCAGAGCTTTGTGTATATTTTAATGATATCTGAGTATACAGAGATGTTAATACTCAGCATATAGAGTGCTGGGTCCCACTGTTAATGTTGCCAGTGCCAAAGTCAAATGGCAGACAACAGAAAACTGAAGGCAGTTTACTACAAATTTATTTTTTATAATTTATATATAACTCACTTAGTTCCTTCTTTTTTCATGAAAGGTCTTCCTTTACCAGCAGGGCAGATAAATCTTATGGCCTGAAAAACTAAAAGAAATGAACTATCATAAATAGGCTAAATTATTCATTTGAGCAATAGGTTTGATTTTGTTTAATCAACTTTCCCTCTCAGGTAGCTTATTCCCAAAATATTTTTGTTTTAATAAGTGCAAAAAATTATGACCTGCACAGCTGCTTTTCTTTTGCTGTGCAATTCCTTGTTCCTTTTCCATCTAGCCTACTTCCATTATCTCCTTGTTTATTTATTTTTATGTTTTCTTTTTTATATGTATGTCTTTGGGTTCAGGTACTACATTTACCCTGTGACTGCACAGCACCTAACACATCAGGGTACTGACCTAGTGAGTATGTCTTGTAATTTAAATGCATTATCACAGCAGTTGTTGTGGTTATTGTTGCTCTTATTAAGACAGAAATGCTCTTTGGCAATTATATTCATTTGATAGATTATTTTTTTTTAGTCATTGTATAATGGATTCATGAGTAATGATTTTCATTACCCTGGTCCCCAGCCCACTGAAACATTAAACAGACATTTTTCCTTTAAGAGTATAGTTTGGTAAGCAACCAACTCCTAATACATGAACTAGAGGAAATGTAGTCAAGAGAGCAGAAGCTCCTGTATGGCTGGCAGCTATAGATATACCTTTGAAACTGGATTTGCAGTTGGACTAAATAATCCATGCAGTTTGCTGTAGCCTCAGGCCCAGTTTTTCATCTAAATCATGGTGCTTACTCAGCATTTACAATAGAGCACCTGTATGTGGGATTTCATCAGAAATATGCCAAAGATCTCATTCAA